AGGCGAGGCTTCACCACCCATTTATCCCTCCGCCTTTCAACCAGCACCACATGTGATTATCGGCCAGGCTGGCACAATTAACTAACTCAGTCAGGCAATTTCAGTTTTGAAAATCTTTATAGTGTGTGTGACTATAACTGATTTTGAACATTGACAGCCAGTGGGGCTCCCCCGTCCCCTTTATGCAGTAGAACCCCGGACCTCGACGCTAATCCGCTCTAGAAGGAGCATTGATAATGCGAGGCAGTCAAGTTCCAAATCAATAACTGAAGATGGATCAATCTGTTCTCGACCTCCAAGTTTTTACCCTGACCTTGCCTTTTTATACAAAACATTACATATTTCAGTAGGACCTGGCTGAGTTTCTCTAAAAAAAACCTGTCTAATGTGGTCTGTTGGTGTTTCCTTAACTTTTCTAAAAGGGTTTACTAAATTATCAACAATATCGATAACACGGTTAACCAGTTCCGTATCATGATGATTCTTTTCCAAAAACTCTTTCTTAGGACCTATGTTTTTTATCTAAAACCAGTACAAAAGCCACAAAAACTAAGAAACTTGTAGCAAAACTCTTGGAACATAGCCAGAAAGGGTTTAAACAACACGTACTAACAACTCCAACTAACACCGAGTGACCGAAACATGAAATGCTTTTGTTTACAAAAAGCACGTGCATTGGGTTGGATTCCGATGTTTTGTTTGAGCTCCAAATGCAAAACTTTCTCAACATTCCGCATCGAAATCCGATGACGTACTGATGCGGTCGAGTTACCGGCATTCTGCTGTGTATACTTTAATTTTATCAGAGATCTATTAGTCATGGTCTTTTTGAGTGTTTTCAAACATTAACTATTGTAAGATGGTGGAAAACCATACATATAATTGTATGACTCAATTTAAATCTAGAATTGTTCAAATGCTGAGTTTAATTCCATCTCGGACACCTTTAGTGAGCACTGGGAACATGATGGCTGGGCTCCTCTTACCTTATCTCAGGAGCCCTGGTGGCATAGTGGTTACGCACTGGACTGCTAACTGCAAGGTCAGCAATTGGAAGCCACCAGCCACTGTACAGAAAAAAGACGGGGTTTTCAAGAGGTAGTCTTGGAAACCCATAGGGGCAGTTTTCTACCCTGCCCTATATAGGGTCACCATGAATGTACTCACGGCAATGAGTGAATGACTGAAGAAATTACGCAACAATTTTAAACCCTACAATTATCTTTTTCTAAGGGATCCCTTAGCTTTTAGGGGTATTTCTATTTTCACAAGACCCAGTGGAAACTCTCCTTCTGATCCACAGAAAAGCTGCCCAACAGTGGGTTTACCGCATTGCTTAAGGACAAGTTGGATTTGTTTTTTCCAAAAACATTACTGAGATACTATCTACTGTGTGCCATAAAATTCAAATATTGAAAACACAAGCATTTGACTATGTTTCCAGAGCCCCACAGCCACCATCACAGTATGATTTTAGAATGTTCCATCTACAAAGAAAACCTGGTGCCCCTTTCCAGTCTCACTCCCTGTCCCACCTCCCCCAGTCATAAGTGACCACAGCTTTACTTTGTGTCTCTTTTTGAGACAGTCTACAACCATTCGATGTGTCTTTTGGACCTCATTTACGTACCATGATGTATTTGAGGTTTAAGCACTTCTCATGTATTGTGTGAGAGCAAGTCAGAGAGGATGGCTACTTGGGTTCTAGTTCATGCTTGCACGCATCTATTCCAAACAAAAGCACGTTTTCACCTTGGTGCCCTCAGCTGGCTGCAGGCCAGTTCTTGTCAACAGCACACCTGCCTTCAGAAAGGTCGCATCATAGTAGCTTCTGAGGGGATGATGGGCCAGTGAAATTCAATACAGAGCTCAGCTCAGAAGGTTATGGGGGCTTTTGTTGTTTCCTACTTTTGACAGATGTTGTCAAAGATCACAGGGGCTCGGGGAGAACTTTTAGCCAAAATTGGCGGGGTTGGGGGTGAGTGTAACATTGGTGAGAAAGGGGCTAGGACATTTGGGACAAGGAAAGTTTTTCCCATCATAACAACATAGCTGCACATTATTCAAGAGCAGCAAGGGCTGTCCTGTGCGAATTTCCTAGGGAAGTTAATCCATCTGCCCTACCGCCCTGATTTACCTGATCACACTTTCTGTTATCCAAATGCAAAGAGCATTGAAAAGGAACACGATTTGAGTCCCTGGACGAAGCCAGCATGGCCATTCTGATACAGTATAAATAGAAACAGCACACTCCTTGCAGCCTGGGCAGCAAGATGAAATATTATGAATTTACAGGCCAAGATGGAGGCTGTGTCAAGGAACAATAGCTTCCTATTGACTGAGGACTTTTGTAGCCCGTTTCTCATTGCCTGTCATTTATGGCCTTTAATATTATATTGTGGGCATTGTGCATTTTGTTTATCTAAGTATGCTTTCTGATCAAAGAAGTCATCTCTTCCCAGGTCTTCCCCCAAAGGCAGACCCACAGAGCACATTAAAACACACACACATGATAACTTGTCTCTGTTTTGTAAAATGACGGTTGTTAGTCGTCTGAGTCAATTCCTTACCTGTGATGACTATGTGAACAGAGAAGACTACTCCATAGGGTCTCAAAGCCCACTGCCTCCAGGCCTAGCTTCCAAGGTGCTTGGGTGGGGTTTGAGCCCCCAACCTTTTAATTCACAGATGAGCACTTAACCATTTGTGCCACAAAGGGACTCCTTGTAACGAGAATATCAAATTGTGTCCTCTATGGGAGAGTCAGTTAATTAGTAATTGACATTGTAAAAGGTATTTTTGTATTTAAAATAATAAGCTGTAAAACCTTACATAGACTTTTTTGTTAACTACTGAAAGGCTTTTGTGTTTTTTTGATTTTTTATTTTATTTCTAGGTAAGACCATTGCAATTGGAAAAGTTCTGAAACTGGTTCCAGAGAAAGACTAAGCATTTTCTTGATGACCCTGCACAATACTGTGAGGAAAATTGACTGCAAAAGCCTACTTCACACCGCCTTCTCTTAATTTCTGCCCATAGACAAATTTCTCCCCCATTTTACAGAGAAAATTCACAGCAAAAGTCCACATGATGCCAGCATTCTCATATTGAGAGCTCTGCTATGCCACTGGTGAATTTCCCCCCGATTTTGTTCTTCCCTCTCAAACTTGGCTTCCTTGGACAGATTTGGCAGTAGCATTGTAAGTGATGTGGACACAATTGCCTACAATAATGAAACCGACAGGATTTTTTTTAAAGGCATATTTAGGCATTTTTCCCCAGGCAGATCATTCTGAGTGTGCGAGTGTGTGTGCACATGTTACAAAAACAACTACCATGTTAATAAAATATTCAATTTGAAACCCTTTTCGGTATTTGAATTGCTTTTGAATAATGTTTTTTATCTGAATGTAACATTGTTGCATTAGCTTTTTAACTTTGCCAAGTAATTGAATACATTTTATTACTTGGACTTTTCTAAAATCTTCCCCTACTCACTACTTTCAATAAGGCATTTACAAATGATGTTCAAGTTTGTATTAAAGGAAAGAATCTGACCCCTTCTTTTGATGGTTAATGATACATACGATTAAATGCAACTGCGATACCGCTTGATTAGGTCTATCCGTTATTTTCAGCCAATTCAGTAAGTTGTTTTAAAATAGAACAACAACATACTGTCATGTTTATATGTAGTCAATATGAAATTATTCCCCTATAGGAAATTCCATGAACTCATTGAATCAGTGGGATTTAAAATAAAGAAAGCATGTTGAGACCTGGCAAAAATGCCTCCTTTAGTATTTATAAGAGCTGCATGCATCTCGTGTGAAAACCCGATCAGTTGCAAGTGCCAGATGTTCTACAAGTTATTCAGTTCACTCTTAATTTTAAAGTTGGACATAAAGTTGCTGGTTATAGCCAACCTCAATCCAGCAAACTAAATGAACATATATTTAGGATTTTCACAGACTGAAATTTACAATGATATATAAACTCAAGCACAGTGGAGTAGGTTTTCTCAATTATTTGAATTGAGTTTTCTTAAATACAGAGCTAAGGTTTGTTAGGCTATAATTTAGGCGAGTCGTCCTGTGGCACTCTGGTGGCAGATTAAGTGCTAACCTGCTCATTCGTGGCTTTGAAATTCTAAAAGAGAAGAAATGGGAATTGGAAGAGAGGGTTTCTGGAAATCGCATGATGTCAGGTGTTGCAGGCACTGCCGATTTGGCCTCTTGTACATTGGGATTTACCTCAAAGATAAGACACCTTGTAATTGTATATTTAATGTCAAATTCCTTTCCTAGAATCTTCCTCCTTGGAAAAGAAAAGCCTAATCAGACTGTATTTCTAGTCACAAAGCCAAAAACTTAAATCTATGTGTTTTAACCATAGAATTTCCATTCATTTCATGAGTGAGCTAAATTTTTTGGACAGAGCCAAGTTATTATCCCACAGTATATCTAAGTATACTTAGGCTATTGCATGAGATTTAAATAAATTTTACATCTGCAAGTTTCTGGGCTTTTATTTTTCTGGGAAATATCAGCTTTAATTAGAGCATACTACTTTTTTCTTACAAGTTAATAACAAAATACTAACAGTTGCTTGGATTTTAACAAAAACTTAAAAAGTTGAAGAGTCACTGAAATGATTTCCAAAGATTTAATTTTAAAATTGAACACATTTTTAAAGACTAGTTATGTTTGTTACCCAGTCATTTACAGTTTTAGAATATTCCGTGTGTTGCCAAGACTAAGATGACATGGCTAACAACTGTGGGGGACCTACCTCTAAAAGTATCATAATGAAAAATTACGAGATAAGAAAATCATTGTTGCAGGTTCAAGCAAATAGTAATTGAGTTATTTAAGAGAAATGTTCATGTCCAATTAACCAACACCATACATTTTAATAGGCTTTGAGGAGTAATCGCATTGAAAAGTTAAAAGCAATTTAAAACCTCCTTTAGTTGCAGTGGCTGGTATTCGGATGAGGAAATAAAACGGCTGGAGAGTCCTGTCAGTGGATGAAGCTTTTGGACCTTTAAAGAGCAATACCGTTTTCTATGCTGCCTGTCATTCCTTCTGCTAGTGCAGATGTGTCTGTATGGAAAACCACGTAAAATATGTAAAATCGGTTACGTTTCAGTTAATGCAGACATCAACATTGTTCTCTATTACAGATGTGTAAGAATTGATTTTCTTTGTGCTTTTTACATTGATGATCTTTTTATGTCATTTCCAGGGTACAAAATCTTTTTTCTCTTTTAAATAATGAACTGAATTCAAGTGACAATGTCTTTGACATACACAACCAAGTTACTATTATAAGCCCTAATTACTGCAGGGCAGGAGTAAAATCTCGGATCAAAGAGTTTTTAATTTGCAAAAGGATTTAGCCAGCAAAAACCTGTAAATTTCAGGTGGAAGATTTGAGTGTATTGCCATGAAATTAAATGAAATAGTAAAGTGGTCTTGAATAAGTTAGGCCATGTAAATATATTTTGAATTGAACGTCTTGAACTGTGTGATAACTAAATGTAAAAGCCTTGTAGATCTGTCTATAAAAGAACACAGGTTGTTCACTATATAACATAAGCTCATTCATACCTTAAGTTACAAGAACTGCTTTTACACTGGGACTTTGAATGAGAGGAAATGAACAATCACTGGCACAGCTTTGGATGGAGCGCTACAAATCTTTTGGGTCACAAATGAAATTCAGTGCGGTTTTTCAAGGCAGAGGCAAACCCACGGTCAAAACCTGCCCGTGTGGTGAACTGAAAATAACTAAACTCCCATGGTGACCTTCAGAACACTAATTAACGTGAGTAGTTACTCCAGGATCTTTAACGACTACTACACATTCAACAACTTCCCTCGTCGGCTTGGACTGCATCAGGAGCACTGCTTCATGGATGAAATGGCTTTGCTTTGGGTAGGGATTAAGCTAGTCGAGGGACAAGTACAGTTTGATTACAGCTCGTGGCATCCGGCAACTTTCCACCTTAAAGCCCTTCCTGAAAATTCTGGCTACAGCACTATAGCTCTGACTGTAGGATGGGCTACTGTTCTGTTCAGTGTTGCCCTCTTAGAACAAACTGTGCCATTAATCCTCTCACAGACATTGTAAAGTAGATAGCAATCAACTGGATTTGGGGAATAATCTCCAAATAATGCAACTTTCTTTCCTTCAGCTAACTGATCCTAGCAGATACCATCAAATATATTGATGAGCGTGTTTCATTCTTCAGAGGATCTTGCCGATGGCAGAAACTTGTTAAATAAGCATAATTACATAAGCACATCTCAAAAGACCCTTTCCATTTAGCAGTCCGTGGGATGTAACTGATTTCACAGTAAATAGAATAGGAAATGTGCATTCCATTTGAACCTATTACTGCCAGTATTCAGGGTAGATTTGGCTCAACTTTCTGAATGATTTTGGCTCTAGGATATTCTAGACTTTCCATATCCTAGAATATTGAGTCTTCCCTTCAGTAAGTAGACTTTTCACATACCTCTAATCCGATGCTTCCCTGACAGTAATAATGCTGAGTTGTTTATTAAAAAATTCTAAGGACCTACATGTGGGAGTGAAGAGTAGAACCTTTGTTTTCCAGTGTAAGGAAAAAACAGGTACTATGAGCAGAAAACTCCAGGCAGCAAAGGTGGAATGTAATGTTCTACTTCTGCCAGGCACATTAACTAGTGCTTCTAGCATCAGCCGAGTCCTTGCTACCTCCTTTCCTGCTACTGGTGGAAGTATGTGTGCTCCTCAGGGGCTTTTGGCATTTTCTGCATACTACAGGAGCCAGCTCTGAGCCTGGAAGGTCTACATGAAAGGACGCCTGTTTGGACTCCTAACTTACCAGTCCCTTCCCATCAGTTTGCTTCTACAGGGGACGGGGCTATCTTTCAGGCCTGGACCTGGTGAGTCATTTACATCAGGCAGCAAGATAAAAACTGGATCTTCCCCCCTTTAGGGAAGATTAAAGGGAACTGATGGGGAGAGTTTATTTTAGCCTAATTCCAAAGCATGGAAAAAATGCTCTAGGAAGGAATTCTGGGAATCTGGAGCTAAAGAACCCCTTTTCTTATGATTTGTAGCTACCTACTGTGCCTGACTAGATGCCTGTGTGAGGATTAAGCCCTTAGTTACTCTTGCAATTATTCAAATGACAAATTATCATTCAAAATGCTTTTGTAATAACAATAAAAATTGTCATCTTCACTTTTGAAGGATTTGTCTGTTTGTTTATAATCACCTGTATTTGATCATTGCATGAGTGTATCTGTCCATCTGCTGTGCATTCCTTAATTTTTGTATCAAGTAATGAAACCACCTACCAGCAGATTGGTTGGATGGACCTAATAAGCTGTTACATAAGGAGTTTACAAACTTGTGGTCTGCCTAAGGTATGCAAAGCTAATGTGGTGTATTTGAACCTTAACAAAAACATCTGCCTTAGAGGGGCTAGAATGCTTACAATAGAAATGTTTAATAAATAATTATCACAATATGTGTTTTTATCTCAATGGCAGATAAAGCATCAGGGCTTACTCTGTCAGAACTACGAACCTCTTTTTATATTCACGATTTATCATGCAAAACACTGCCACTTGCTCTTCTCTACTGAACCAAGGGCAAAAAGAAGTTTTTGTTTTGTTTTTTGGGCAAAGAGAAGTTAATGCTCAACAGGTTAACATGCACAATAGTTGCAAGTCCTTGGATAGAGAAAATGGCTAATGTGCTCAGTTGCTAACAAAGGCTGGAAGTTCAAGTCCATCCAGAGGCACCTCACGGTGGAGAGCCTGATCTGCTTCTGAAAGAGCCATGGAAAACCTTAGGGAGTACAGCTCTCACTTGAGGTTACCAGAGTCAAAATCAGCTCAGTGGCAATTGGTTAAACAGTGGTTTCAATGAAGGCTAGCAATATGTCCCTGTATCCTCATCTTGTATTTTGTGAGCTAGCCAGTTGCTGGTTAAAACTACCACTGCAAAGTTCTGGTAAATGCTCTAATGTAGTAGATGCTTGGCATCAAATAGCAAACTTGTGCTCAATTATAAGTTTGAAGTAATGAGCTTTTGTGACTTCTCAGTAAACATTAAAGGCTGTCAAGTGGGTCCCCACAACCCACGCTACCCTGTGTACAGTAAAAACACCGCCTGCTCCTGCACTGTCTGCACAGTCATTCCTGTTTGAACCCATTGGGAGCTACTGTGTCAATCTGTTTTATAGGGGGTCTTCCTCTTCTCTGCCCCATGATCCCTTTAAGCAAAGCACGATGTCTTTCAGGGACTGGTCTCCTGATAACATCTCCCAAAGCATCCTAGGTAAACTTCATAGATCTGTTTTTGTTCTTTTGGCCATCCATGGTATGATCTATTCTTTGCCAACATCATAATTCAAAGATAGTGATTCTTCTGTCTTCCTTCCTTCCTGTCAAGCTTTGCTCTTGATCATTTTAAAGGAGCTCATTTGTGGCAGCACTTTGCCCAAGGCAATATGTTGTGTGATTTCTCCATTAAAACTTCCATAGGCAACAACTGCAGCCAACTTCATTATTTTATCCAAGTAAATTTGCCACAATTAATCAAGTCTTAAAAAACAACAGCTGGGTAAATGTCACGGAGGCCACATCTGACCACCTCTAGCTACAGAAGGTGGAGAATCCAACTTCCTTACCAACCCGCGGCCAGTTGCCACACAGTTAGACATACCTCCACCCCCCACCCCAGCCCTTTTATGCTGTTCTGACACCAGCCAGTCCTATAGCATTGTTTCTCTGCTGGGTTCAGCAGTTCCTCGCAGTGGCTCCAGAGAACTCCAGACACGATGCAGCTCTGCTTGGTAAAGAACGTCGGCTGAAAACCAAGACCAGCATGGAGATGGGCTGACTAGTGGCTGGAACAATGGACTCAAACTGAGGATGGCACAGGACCAGGCAGTGTTGCATGCTCTTGTACACAGGGTTGGTACGAGGCAGAACTGGCTTGACGATCCCTAACAGCAGCAAAGGTTTATATTGATCTCTTGACCTCTTGGCGTGTTAAGTCAATTGGAAGGGCCAGTTAATGTAGAAAAATGAAGTGGTTTGTGGGGGAGGGGAGAACTTAGGCTAGAATTTTCCAGAAGTTAAGTTTAAGTGGAAATCAGAAGGATGTGTTAATTTATTTAGTAGTAGAAAATGACAATTCAAAAAGGTGGTAGTGAGGAAAAAAAAGGTGGGGGGCTAGTGTTTGAGTAAGAAGTAACAACATATTGGAAGGTATGGGTACATAGGAAATGCCAAGTTAATACTAGGACCTAAAGACTAAAAAGATGTGCTGTGGGGTATGGAGCTGGGGAAGTAAGGATGGGAAGAAGGCAGATAAGTGCCTGCCTATTGAGAGTGAACCTAGTGGTGTAATGGTTATGCATTGGGTTGCAATCCTCAAGGTTAGCAGTTCAAAACCACCAGCCACTCTGAAAAAGACAGGGCTCTTTATTCCCGCAAGCAGCCTCGGAAATGAAACTCACAGGAGCAGTTCTCCCCTGCCCTTTAGGGCACGAGTCAGCATCGACTTGATGGCATCGAGTTTGGTTTTTTTGTTGTTTTGTTTTATTAAGAGCAATCACATCGATGCTAAGCCAGAGAGGCACCAGATAACAAATGCAAACTAGGATTTATCTAAGACAGGGCTAATGAGTCAAGGGCCAAGGGCCATTTTGATATTTCTAACACAATTCAAGGGCCATGCTGGTCACACATTAACTCTCCCCTTTTGTGGTGGTTAGAACTGCTCCTCTTTGGTGGACGTCTGTGACGTTGGCTGGTAGGGGTTTCACGGGCTACAGTGGTTATGAGTTGGGCTGCTAACCAAGGTCAGCAGTTCAAAACCACCAGCTGCTTTACCAGAAAGGCTTTTTTTTTTAACTTCAACTGTGAAATTTAATCTTTTATATTTATTATGTTTATTATCTATAGTGGAAGCTTGCTATATATTTTAGAATAATTTCCATTAAATCAGGGAAGATTATTAGCTCTTTAAAAAAAAAAAAAAAGCAAACAAGGTTAGAGGCTATGAGAAAGGCTAAGTTCGTATCTTCCAGTGCAAGACTAGGCTTTCTACTCGGGTAAAGGTGGCATCTCGGAGAAGCTCACAGGGGCCATTCTACCTGTTCTCTAGGGTCGCTATGAATTGGAAATGATCTGTGAGCAGTGAGATACGACTCTAACCCTGAACAACCCCCACCCTCACCTGAAGCAAGGAAGTAGTGACAAACTACTTCCCAAAGAATAAAAGAAAGGCAGTTAAGCATAAATAAGGTTGATAATTAGCTTTGTACTTCAGAACTCAAGCTGAAGGGTAGGGAACAGAATATAAGAGGCAACAGGAGAACAGGAGGGGGTTCAGTAAGAGCCTGCCCTATTCTTTTATCAGACGGGAATAAAAGAAATGGGTAAGTGCCCAAGAGCCTAATAAAGGCATACCCAAGACTCATTTAGGAAATTAGGAAAGGATTAAGGATGCCATCCTTAGGCAACTCAAACCAAAGACCAAACTTCATGCCATTGAGGACTCCTATTGATCCTACAGGGCAGAGGACAACTGTACCTGTGAGTTTCTGAGAGTGAAACTCCCTAACAAGAGTAAGAAGCCACATCTCTCTCTCCCAGCTTAGGCGACTAACCAGTTGAAAAACACAGGAGCATGTTTGAGGGGAAATGAGTTCATTAGTGAAACGTGTATATGACGTCCTTGTAGGACATCTAAGGAGGGAAGTTTGGTTTTTTTCCCCAAAGTATTTAAATCATTTTATTGGGGGCTCGTACAACTCTTATTACAATCCATACGTACATCCTTTGTGTCAAGCACACTTGTACATTTGTTGCCAGCATCATTTTCAAAACATTTTCTTTCTACTTGAGCCCTTGGTAACAGCTTCTCATTTCTTTTTTTTTTAATTAGAGGCTCATACAACTCTTACCACATCCATCCATACATCAATTGTGTAAAGCACAGTTGTAGATTCATTGCCCTCGTCATTCTCAAAACATTTGCTCTCCACTTAAGCCCCCAGCATCAGGTACTCATTTTTCCCCTCCCTCCCTCATGAGCCCTTGATAATTTATAAATTATTTTGTCATATCTTGCCCTGTCCAATGTCTCCCTTCACCCACTTTTCTGTCGTTTGTCTCCCAGGGAGGAGGTCACATATAGATCCTTGTAATCGGTTCCCTCTTTCCAACCCA